TCCATTTTTTTAAAAAAAAAAAAAAAAAAAAAAAAACTAGCCTTTGTTAAAAGTGTACCCAGCATCCAGCCCAATATCATACACAAATCATATTCAATCTCCTTATTTTTAGGGAGACAATAGGGCTGAGACCAAACAAGAAAAGCAAAACTAAGAAGATACAGTTCTAATAAAGTTCACACTATCCGAATCACTAAACAACAAAAGCATGCCCCATTGGATAGGTGAACTCAGAATATGAAGACCCAATGACAAAGAATAATTGAATATACATAGCTAGCCAAGAAATTAGCCACTTTATTTCGTTCTTTACATGCATGAGAAAGCCAAACATCCCACCTTGGACTTGGATTCAAAGTCAGAATATGGGTTTTGGCCTCCTTTTGTGCTACTGCATGCAGTATGCCCATGTACTACTGAAATATGTTTTTATCATTAATTTATATAATTTTTTGTCCCACTTGGATTCTGCAGTACAGAGAATTTGGAAACGGCACAACTTGGTTGGGGGCATAGCTACTGCAGGGAAAAGGTGAAATTTAATGTTGAGTTAACAATATGGTTATTCAAGCTATCTTCCTTCTCGACACACTTGATAAAGATATCAATTCATCCTCCATGAGAGTCAGGTAGTATGTTTCAACATTAAATACTCAATCAACTAGATAATTTTGTGTTTTAAACAATTTGCTTCCTTCCAGAGAATTTTCAAACTTGAAGAACTCATTTCTCTATTAGCATGTGAGTTAGGTAAATATCTGATATTTAAATATTGATCCCAGAAGGGACTCTTCACATAATTGACTCATTTCTCATAAGGGACTCAAATATTCTAGTAAACTATATCAAATAAAAAAGTATCAGATAAATAGAAAACTCATTTCTCTACTAGACAAACTTTAAATATCAGATCATTATTTAAAACTGAAGGTTAAAAGGCTCAAAAGTCAAAACTCAATGTGTTATTATAACTAAAAAAATAACAAACGGTTCTTTAGAGTTAAAAAAGAATCCAATACGCTGTTGTAGGGATTAGGGTTGTGCATACCCACTTTGGAATTTCAGTGTCTTTGGAAACTAGTTGAATTGAATGGTTGAAAAAGAAAAGTTACACTCACAAGCTTTTGCTTTATTTTACATACGTGTTTTTCTGTTAAATGTGATTTTAAACCGGTATCCAAACATTAACAAAGACATTCGTGAGCGGAAATGTTGCCCCCTCCGATTGTCATTTTCTGTGATTTTTGCTGTGAGAAGCGTCATTCCGCTACAACAGCCAGGCACAACGGCCCTTGGAGGAGCAGCGTAGTGCCACGATTCCTACGGGTCTCACAGATACAAATCGCGATTCATGCGATTCTCACACGATTCAAGCGATTCAGGGTGCGATACAAGAGCTAAACGATACTAACTAACTACACGCCCAAATCCAATCAGAGTCATAAAGCAAAAAGGAACAATATATAAACCACAAACCATTACTCACAGATAAGTAACAACTAGGAACACAGTAGTAATCACTTGGGATAATGAAAACCCTAATCTCGAAACTACGTTGACAGAGGGAAATGAGAAGCCTAAAATGCTCAAATCTCAGTTAATTAATAATACTTTGAGAAGCTTAAACAACTATTGGTAATGGATGCTCCGAAATATGAGAGAATGAAGATAGAAGACAAAGTGGAAATACCTTGCCGTCGTTGACGCTGTGCTCGCCGGAATCGACTTCGCCACTGATGAAACGAGAGCACACTCAGCAGAAAAGAAACTAGGGTTTTTTTTCTTACCACAATAGAAAGCCCAAAACCAGTGGGCCAACAAAACTAGAAAACTAGCCCAATTTCAGAATTCGGATTATTGTTCTTTTCTTTTTGGGCTCATTGACTGAAGTGGATTTCTTTCTAAATTAATTTATCAAAGTGGCGTTTCTTTTGAAATAAAATTTTAATTTTATGTTAGACTTCATTTATGGAAAATTGTTTAATTTTGCTGCTTTTATTTTTTATTTTTAACGTAATCCTAGCCTATATTGACATATATTTGAGTAATTTGTTCACGTTTAAGGAATTATTAGTGTTGGTTCGATAGTGAGAAATTAGAATAATATATATATTAATAAAAAAATAAAGAATAATGTGTATGAGGTGTTAAATAAATATTTTATTATCATTACTTATAATTTTCTGTAATTTTTTTATAAATATTAAAAGGAAAATCTGTTCATTTTCACATTTTTTGAATCATTTTTTTAGATTAACAAACATTAAATATCTACTTCTATCATTTTTTTCAATTAAGAGACTCTGAAAAATGTAAAATTTATCACTTTTATTTAATCTCTCTTTCTACTTAAAAAGTTGCTTCTTCTTAATATAAAACTCTTCCTTTTTTCTTAATTGTTCATTCTTTAATTCTGAAGATTTTTGTTTTGTTTTTTCCATGTTTGTTTTTAGCCCCCTTATTCTTTATTGTGCACTTTCTCATGCCTCCTTTACATATTCTATTTTTATTTTTATTTTTTTACCATTTTTTTGAAACTGAATTTTTTATTTAAGTGTTAAAGTGTAGATTTTTTATCTTAGTACTGTTAAGGTTAATTTATCAACTTGTTTGAAATGATATATTTATATTAAAAGGAAAAGATTATGTCTTTATTATTTTTTATTATGTTATTTCACACACAACTCTATAATGGTGATATATTATCTGCTTTGAGTCTAAGTATTCATGATTTTACTTTAATTTTTTCATCTCTCAAAAGACTTATCAACCATTAGAATATGTAAATGTTTTATAAACTGTTATTTTTTTTCCTCTTATTTTATCACTGTAAAATATTGTTTGTAGCAAAGATTCTCTCTATTTTTTTCTCTTCGTTTTTTTCATTATTAAAGCTTTAAAAGTATAAATGTCACATTTCCTAAAATATGTATTAACTTCAACAACTTTATTTTATTAATTTTTTTCTAAAAGTTTTAAGAAATAGAAGAAATAAAGAGAAGGGAAAGCGGAGAGGATCTAAGCTAACGTACTTGATTCTTCTTGTTTAATTTTAAAGTCGTAACTTAAATTTTTATGTGACAATGTAGATTTTAATGTTATCATTTATATTTTCCTCCCAAACAATGATAATATCACGAGTAGACCAGTAATGGATACCAAAAATGTCATGAACTCGTGAGAGAAAATAATTTAACCAATTTAATTATTTATTATACGTAAGATTTATATGCATTTTGGCATAAATAAAAAGTTATGCTACCACGTGTATTCGTTCCAAAAAGAAATTAAAAATAAAAACAAATAATGTAGTTAAAAAAACTGTGCTAGAAACATAAGGAAGTAGTTAAAAAAATAGTTTAAAAAACGGAAGAGTTTTATAGTGGGAAGACAGATTAAATAGTTTTATATTAAAAAGAAATAACTTTTTATGAGAAGAGATCAAATATGGTATTTTTGCAATTGTTAATTTATTATAATAATGATTAACCATCACCAACCATAATAAATATACTCGAAAAGACTAATTGATTCATTTTTAATTCAATCAACCACCGAAAGACGTGTTGCCATAATTAAGATGTTTGTTTGTGAAAACAAATAATTAGAACCTACTAGTAGTGTTTAACATTCCAAAAGGCCTCATGGAAAATGCATAGAACACAACTCTCAAAAGGCCTCATATGGTTTTGCAAAAGAAAATTATTGTTTAAAATTTACAATTTGTGTTGTATGAGTGGTTTCTTCTTCGAGAGTTTTAATTGTGTGTGCATGCACGTATTTTGTTATATTTGATGAAAGTGGTTGTGTAGTTTGAGTTTTGTTGATAATTAATAATATCAGAAGAGTTGAGATGTATGTATGTCATTTTCAAAAGTATCCTTGTCAAGTTTAAAGCATAAGAGTGGACTAAATGAAAAAGGAGTCAAGTAACATTATTTATGATAAAAGAAATTTTTTTTCTATTAGTATCAGTTTAAAAAAATTATTTTTATATTAATATTTATTTATTTTTTTTAGTTTTATAATTTAAAAGCCATTTTTTACATTTAAAAAAAATATTTTTTAAATATTTATTTGTAAAAAATATATAAATATAATTATCTTTTTCAATTCATTTCTAAAATATTAATATTTTTTTATCAAAATATATTTTTAAAAATGTCCTACTTTAAGATTTGTTTCAAATCTAATAATATGTTAGATCAACTTTGTTTCTCATCAAAAATATTTTTTTGACTGATAGTTATAAACTAGTTTTTTGAAGATGTAAATATATTACAGGAATGATCAATTTTGTCTCTCCTGACAAAGTTAATATCTGTCATCATATTTAAAGAATCAAAATATTTAAAACTAATTTCCTAAAATAGTAAACCCTATTTTAAAACTTGATTATGAATTTGTTTTGATAATTTTTCCAAAACAATTGTAGGAAAAGAAAATATAAAAAAATTAAATATTTTTCTATATATCTTCAAATTAACTTGCCAACTTATAAAAAAAAAACTTATTTCCATATTGTACATAAAAGTTAATTTGAATTTACGAGAAAAAAAAATCTTCTTTTTCCGGTTAGTATTTTAAAAGAATTTTATTTAACCAGACTTTATGTAAAACACATGACCTTATTCATAACATGTTATTATATATATTTTGTTAACAACATGCTCTTTCTAAATTTTAGTTTGACCCAAATAATTCAGGCTGACAAATTTGTTTTAATGATTTCTCAATATCCCAAACATAGATACAAACTTTAAAAAACAGGATCAAGAGATTCAAACAAATTATTTTTTGAGTGTTTAGAGTTACTTGCTAGGAGATGAACATTACTAGAACCAACTTTCTAACCACGCCTTTACTAAAATTGTATACAAGTGAGATTCAAGGCTTAAAAAATGGTAAGTTAGTGAACATATATAAGTAGTAAAAGACTAAAAGTTATAGTGTTTGTTTAAACGATAAAAGCCATATATGTTGACGTGAATCCTTCAATTTATTGTAGCCATACATGAAAACGTTAAAAGAAACACTACATCCTTTGTCTAGTTCCACGATCACAATCTCCTTCCAACACGACGAAGTAAAGAGGAAAAGCCCTAGATAATTAATATCTTGTCCTTAACTTCCCTTCCTCTACGCTTAAGGAAAGAGAAAATAACTCTTGACAAAGACTTTGCTAAGATTAATCTTGAAGTAGCTTTGAATGGAATATATATAATATGTTATATCATGTGTAGTGGAAAAGTGAGTTGTCTCTTTCAATTCTTATTCTTATATCTTTGTTTTTTGGTATTCAATCTCTTTCAAAATAGAAAGGATCAAACACGATGGAAAAGTCCAACAATGGCTCAGTGCCGGCTAAGAAGTGCACACCAAGATAGGCATTGAAAATTCAAACACTACCTAATTTCATAATTAAAAACACCCATTATATCCTCTCATTGTTTTATTTATTATCTTAATTGGTCATTATTAGTGACGTATGAAATGGAAAGTTGCACGACTTTGCCATATTTCAAGGATAATAGAATCGTCGCTGCATTTCTTAGTGCCCACAAACATTATTATGGGAAAACAAAACTAAATAGATCTGTTTACACTCTACATGTTTAATGGTTCACATGCATGCATGACTCTCTTCATTTTGACATCATCGGGTTTAATCGTGGATATTAGTTTCCTTCCAAGGTGGATAAAGTGGAATCATGTTCTCACCTTAAAAATCGTTTTCAATTTATTGTATTGAAATTGTTTTAGTTTATAGGATATGTATGAGTGGTCATGAATTAATGGATTTAGTTTGAATTTAAAGTAAATTAAAATCTGAAATAATCAATTTTAATTGATTTGGTATGGATTGAATTTACCAAAATAAATTTTGCTATTCAAACCAAAGCAATCAACAATAAATTAGTATTGGATAATTAATAAAATAATAATAATATAAGAAATAAATATATTAAAATTATATATATATAAACTATTATAATATTGTTAATGTAATATAGTGTTGCACTGTTGTGTGTTGTGTTACTAATAAAATCATAATATTAAGATAATAATCTTGTTTGAATTCATTTATCATGGAGTTGAGGCTTATCATATACATGCTAACATTGTTGTTGGTATATGTTTCTTCATGCATTTTTCTTAGAAACTTTTCTTTCAACACACCTTTAGACAAGTCCACTATGTTGGAGACAGTTTGGCCAAAGAGGGAATTAACTCTTGTACCTCCTTTTCGTTTTTAAATGTGTGCCCACCAACTTTTAGATCATCTGTTCTAGCAAATGCTGTGAGCACCTTGTTCATTAGACCTTAATTTTTTCTTTGTAATGTTTTCTTAACATTTCATACTAATACAAATTTTAAGATAGTAATTATAATATTAAAATAAAATAATAATAATCAAACCATCAAAATTGTATATGCAACATGTAGATTGTAGTCTAGAAATAAGATAATAATAATAAAAAAAATAAAAAAAAAAATTGTGTATAAAATTATTATATCTAAGCAATAACGAAATTGAGTGTAAAAGGGGGAAAAACAGTTACTTCTAGTTAGTTTAGTTGTTATATTGTTTACGCGAATAATGAATATGTGGTTTTAATATTTCTCTCCTTTTATCTTTTTTGATTTCTTTATCTTCTCTTGTAAGAATTATTGCATGACGGCTTCAGTATTAGAAAATGGGAAAGACCATAGAATAATGATGTATAACTTAATATAAAAATAAAGTTCACGTGCTTTTCAATGATAAGTGGAGGT